AACATCGAAATCAAAGGTCAGGGGCTTGAGAAAAATGCGAAAATTTTTACTGCTAACAAATGAAGGCACCGCATTTAATAATAAAAACGCGACACCGGCGAATAATGAAAAACGGGGCAGACAGGATGTGCAAAGAATGAGTAAAAATAGCCGCTTTACTTTGCTCATTTGTTGATTTATGCGGCAATTTGCACAACATGATGGACTGGCAGACCGTCTAAGGATCCCTTGCAGCGCCAAAAAGTCGCCGGAACAAAATACATCTCTCTGCTGTCTCCCCATATCTATGTATACACTTATTTCTATATATACAACTCGCACTTAGGCCGAAAAACAGAAATAAAATAAACCAAGAGTGGATACTGCAAGTATGGGCGGACAAAAAGTTGTAGCAAAAGGTGGGGCGTCTTCAGTCTGGGTTCCAAGTCGCAGTTCCAAGGACGAAGCCTGTCAAGACTTCAGCTTTTTCGGGACAAGTTTACCCAGCTCGCCCTTAAGCAAGTCCACATCAACATGGGTGTTGGCGTCAGACTGCAGGACCCCGAGGCCATAATTCAAACTTACCTTCAATAGATATGAGCCCTGGGTGCTGGCGTTAAAAGCAAATTTAATTTGCTGAAAATATACTGAAGATACGACGGAGGGTTTATTAGCCACATCAGCACATATGTGATTTTTTGCCAAGTAAGCTATATGTGGGCAAATAAGGAAATAATTTCACTTTCTTTTGTAATAAAAGAAAACTAGCACAACTATTCACAGTCACCTGTACACTAAGAAATCAGTTCGAAAATGTTCTATATTATCAAAATAGAGATAAGGAGAGGTATTACAATAAAAAATGTATAATTTCTACTTTTTCAGGTGCTTAATATTTTTTGAACATACAAATCTTCAGATAGTTTTGAACTATTTAGTTGAAATGTTATACAAAAACGCCCACAGCTATCAATACAGTTTTTGAATCACTTACTGAGGTGCCTAAAAGTATGCTACAATACACATTTAATGGAAAGATTGCATGGCTTTAATTTTTACTGCATACTTTTAGGCATTTTATAAGTGGTATAATTCCAAAATAAAATATTTCTTATATACGCTCTTCTAAGTTATATTAACAAAGCTGTTTTACAAGTCCAATAAAAATGTTTTTTGGAGTGCAGGTCCTCCATCTTGGCAACAATTTCCTGCTGGAATAACGGTGGCTGTCTTCCATCACGTCTGTGTGTGGGTCCAGGGGTGTCTGTGTGTGTGTTTCTAGCTGTCGTGTTGTCCTAGTCTTGTTAGTACTGAACTGGAAGAAGCAAACTTCCGCTGACACATCCTGTCCCCCGACACCCCTGCCCCACCACCCGGCAAAAATTCATAGCTCTATCATTTTTATGGCTATTTAAAGAGCCATAAACAGGCGAGTGTGTGCGTGCGTTTGAGTTGGCATTAAATTGAGTTTTATGCGTGATTTCCGTCCTTAACACTTTGTTGACAATGAGTTTGTTAGGTGTTTAATGAAATGTGACCACAATCGGGTTTCCATTTTCTTTCTTTCAGACGCAACAGTTTATTATGCTGTGGATCCTGTTCTTCACCATCGTCCTGGGCAATTCTGCAGTACTTTTTGTGATGTTCATCAACAAGAACCGCAAGTCCCGGATGAACTTCTTCATCAAACAGCTGGCTTTGGCAGGTGCGTTTTGGGGACGGAGGTATTTCTCCTTCCATTGCCTAATTCCCAGTCAATTACTTTTAGATCTGAGTGTGGGACTGCTCAACGTGCTGACCGACATCGTTTGGCGCTCCACCGTGGCCTGGAGGGCGGGCAACCTGGCCTGCAAGGTCATCCGCTTCTCGCAGGCCGTCGTCACATACTCGTCCACCTACGTCCTGGTGGCCATGAGCATCGACAGATACGACGCCATCAGGCACCCCATGAACTTCTCAAAGTCGTGTAAGTTAAGTCGTCGAGTGGAAAGTTTTCTAATTGCCAAATGTTGTTAGCCAAAGCGCTGTTTGCGGTTTCTTTGGATTAGACGAGCGGCATTTTTATAATTTAGTTTGGCTATGTTGTAGGACAGGAATTTTAAGATGTATCAGAAGGATTTCTTGGAAAAAAATATTTCTTATAAGTTGTTTAAGGGAAGTGAAATAATTGAATTTAAAATTAAATATTGGATTTTATACTATAGTATGAGTAATCAAAAAACTGTAGCTATATTTCTATTAAATCATTGGAAAACTTCTTTTTTTAGGGAAACGAGGACGTCAACTGGTGGGTGGGGCGTGGCTACTAGCGGCGTTTTTCTCCATTCCCATGCTGTTTTTATACGAGGAGAAGCTCATCCAGGGATCTCCGCAATGCTGGATAGATTTGGGTTCCCCGGAAGCCTGGCGGTGGTATATGTGTCTGGTTTCCGTATGTCTATTTGTGGGTCCCGCGCTGATCATTTCCGCCTGCTATGCCATCATTGTTAAGACGATTTGGGCCAATGGCTCTATATTTTTGCCTACAGGTAATATAACATTTTCTAAATGTCTTATCACTATAGAACTTTACTATTACTATCGAAATCATAACATTATTCTTGCAGAACGGGGAGCCACACCTGCAAGGCGGGCCAGTTCAAGGGGCATCATTCCGCGGGCAAAGGTCAAAACGGTCAAGATGACACTGACCATCGTATTTGTTTTCATTATCTGCTGGTCGCCGTACATCATCTTTGATCTGCTACAGGTCTTTGATCAGATTCCACACTCCCAGGCCAACATAGCCCTAGCCTCCTTCGTCCAAAGTTTGGCCCCATTGAACTCGGCGGCCAACCCTTTGATCTATTGCCTCTTCTCATCGCAGGTCTTTCGGACTCTAAGGTAAGATATTATAAATACTTCTAAGTTTAAACTGCATATAGTTTATAGAGCTTTTTAAAAAAATCAATTCTTCAATCAATTTCTTTTTAACACACTTTTTCTAGTCGCTTTCCGCCCTTCAAGTGGTTCACCTGCTGCTGCAAATCGTACCGCAACAACTCGAGGCAAAATCGCTGCAACACGGTGGGTCGTCGTCTGCAAAACAGTTGTGATTCTATGAGGACACTGACCACCTCGTTGACCACTTCCCGGAGGTCGGCCAACAGGACCAATGCCCATGTGGTTATAAACGAAAGGCCCACCATGGTGGTAACCGTTCCAGCCATGTCGGAGGTATGATAGCTGGCCCACACCACCCGCAAAAGATCCCTGTTTTCGATCCATGGTCCCACTTCCTTCAGCGATGCGGAGTTCCTTTAAATCGAGGGAACACAAAGGGTACATCCTGTGAAATGCTTCAGAGGCTTAGACAATAAGTTCGATAGTTGTACCAGGCATAGAGAAAGCCAAATGTAAGTCCCTAGTCGTAAGTGTGCCAAGTCTACGCTACGAATTTCAAACCTTGTATTTATATTTGCCCAATAGCAATCTGTAGTTAAGATATGCATGATCTAATAGGACGTTTGTATGACTTTTAATTATCACTAAGAATCTGATAAATATCTTAAGAGATGGCGATGTAATCTCCAAAAACGAATTCCTAGTATACATACTACATATGTTAAAAGGTGTCAAGAACACAATTTTACACAAAGTTTTGACTTATCAAACTAATTTCTTAAAGTCGAAATAAAAAGGATCCTAAAAAGATTGTTACACTTATTAAGATTATTGACGATTTTCCAATTGTTGATTCAAAAACTGTACGAATGTCTAGGTTTCAATCCATTTACTAGCTAATTTTAGAAGCTCTCCTAGTTTTATTTATCTTCACAGACTGATTTTATTTGCGTGCCATTCGCGGATATTTAGCGGAAATTTAAACTGCATTTCTTTCCAGTCTTAACTAGCTGTTACGACCATTTGAATTCCGGCTCATCCGTGTATATAGCCACTCGTAATGGTGTATAAACATGCCCAAGTATCTTAAACCAAAACCCATTAGGCATAAGTAGACCATAAGAGTTAATAGAGCATAATGTTGTAGTCAATTTGGTTTAAGCTAATATTTATTTCATAATTATGTGTAGAAAAGCAGAATAAAGGCGACCGACTTCAAGAGCGTCCCGCATTTTCATTCATTTTCTTGGCACGCGCTGGAAAATCTTCACATTTTCAGTTCGCCCCACTGAACAATGGGCACAAGGACGATTTCTGAGCCCTCGTCCTCTCACTCCGATTATAATTGTTGCGATGATGTGGTATTGTTTGTGGCCTCCAGAACTGACGTCACCGAATGGAAAGTCAACATGACAGATAAATTGAGCGACAAACCGGGCAGACAATGAAAACATATTGGTTTCTGTGGGCCAAACAAACAGCCATTGGTTATACCTTTTACTCTTTATTGTCTGAAAATGGCAAATTTACCATGCCAACTTCGTGGGAATCTGTTTATGTGTTTGCTTTGAGGCTGGTTAAATTCAACCCTTATGAATTTACATTCTCCACTTCCTGATATTTAATCGCTTGGTTGAACAGATGGAAACTATGGAAACTTAAAGGGACAGTTGGCCAATAAATTCTCTTCAGGTCCTGTTGCAAAAATAATTTGCCCTCTCGGCCATTCGCTTCATTTGGCCCGAAGGGAAGGGGAGGAAAATCCATTAAGGAGCTTATGAAAGACGGCGGACAGTTGCAAAATTTTTGCAATTATGATTTTGCAAATTATTTATCAACTTTTAATTGAAATGCTATTAGCAAATTAGTAAACAATCGCGCGGTCTTGACATAAAAAACAGTCAAACTGTTTACTTTGCTTCTTTTGTGCTAATTTTATTGGTTTTCATTTCTATTTGCCATGGCTTTTTAAAATGCAAACTGAAAGCTTGTTAAACTAAATAAAATAAAAGGGGATTTAATTGGAAAACATATTTTTTGGTGTGGAGCAAATTTTAAAATTATGCAAATAGCAGTAACAATTGCAAACCCATTTTGGCTTTATCTTTCAAAATTATTATTTAACAAAAACTATAAAATAGAAAATTTAACATAATACAAGTCCCAACAGAAAACTCACTGCTCATATCAATGCCAACCCGAAGATTTGATTATAAGAATATGAACCATTAGTTTTTAATCGCTCTACAGTTTAAAAATTCGTCAAAAAAGTCATGTTTCCAAATTACTGCTTTACAAAATCGGCCAGGCAGTCGGGCTACGATGTTATAAGGAGGGGCTATACCGCCAAGGAGAGTTGTCAGCGCTGCAGCGGGAGATCCGTAACGTCGTCAGGAGGTCAAAGGTCACGCAATCGATCGGAAATCCGTAACTCCAGCGATTCCCCTAGGAAGACTCCAAAGCGTCAGAGGAAATCCAGCTCATCACGTGACAAGGACTCTTCTTCCAGGAACGTGGGATTCCGGTTGACACCCGTGATTTGTTCGAGTAAAAAAGATACCCGTGAAAAAGCTGGCGAGGATCGTCAGAAGGATAAAATTATGTCCTCCGAATCTAGCAACGATCCCAATCGCGATCTACAGGAATCCTTTGCCGACTTCTTCAGCATCATTCACGATAATGTCTTGGAGTCCGTGCAGGAGGCAGTGCAGCGAATGGTGACCAACTGCTTTAAGGAGTCTTTGACCAAGATGGAGCGACTGTCCAAGGAGCTGCAGAACCAGGAAGCCTTGCTCAACAAAATTCATCGCGATGTTACCAACAGTAAGCTAAATATAAATTCTTAATAGAGTTTTTTAAAACTTTTATAAACTTAGTCAAATGAATATCCAAATTTATGATATCTATGGATCCTATTATTACATTGGTATATAATATCTTTGAAATAATCGTTTCCTTTATTATCTTTCTGATGAATCAATACGGTGAAGTGAATTTTAAGTAATCTAGAAAGATTAATCAACTTTTACTGAACCCCTTGGTATATAATATCTTTGAAATATTCGTTTCCTTTATTATCTCTCTGATGAATCAATGCGGTGAAGTGAATTTTAAGTAATCCAGAAAGGTTAATCATATTTTAATGAACCCCTTGGTATATAATATCCTGATTTTACCTCTGCTCCTTAGAAATTACCGCCCAGAGTGAAACGAACCTGAACCAATTCAAGTTCGTTACCCAAATGCTCATCGACAACCAAACGGTGCACTATAGAGCGCTCAATCAGGCGAAGGCGAACAGGCAGCGGCGCAAGGAGGACCGGGATGCTGAGAAGGAACGGAAGTTGGAGCGGGAACGGAAGCGGAAGTGCACCTGCAAGGAGGTGCACAATGAACGGGTTCCATCCAAAGGCCGATGCAGAAGTTCCAGCGTGGACCTCTCCCCAAAAAAGAGATGTTCCGGTGGCGATGCCAAGGAATTAAAACCTAGAGGACCACAGCACCAGTTGTGCCAACAGCAGGCACCGCTGGTTTACCACATGTGCCAGTCCTGTACGGATAAGGAATCCATGGACAGGAATCAGGAATCCAAAAGGACATCCCGGTCTTCATCGAAGCATACGAATACCCCAGTTCTGCCCAGACGATCCACTTCCTACAGCATGCCAGATCTCTCCGGACGCACTTCCTCCATTTCCAAGCGTTTCACTAACACTCAACCCCTTTCAAAAGTCTCCAAGAGCTGTTTATCCCGATCCTTTAACAACAGAAAAAGTCAGATTACATGCCATCCGGCCATGACTTATCCGCCCTACGTCCGCAATATTCCGATTCCACGGCGAAAGTTAGTTAAATAACTATAGTATTTTATTCATCCACAGATACAAATATCTGATATGGCATTCAGTTGCATTTCTTTAAAAGGAATTCAAATCAAATATGATTTCTTTCCATGTTTTGCAACTGTCTGTCTTACCAGTAAACAAAATCAAAAAAAATATTTTTAAAAATTGGCCCAAGTTTTATCAGACACTAAAAATAAATAAAAACATTAAAATGCTTTTTTAAATAATATCCAAAATATAACTTTTATTTATTAAGAGAAAAAACAAAGCCATATACAAGCCTCTTTAGATTACATTAACCGATGAATTATACCAGTTGAATGATTAATATTATGCATAACAAAAAATAAGTTGATGTATGATTGTATTCACACAGATCAATAGGAACTAAATGGTTGAGCATAGGAAAAGCTTCTTAATAAATGGTAACAGCAAACATCTGATGTAATTTCCATTAATCAGAACTTTCGTTAAGCTTTAAGACATCTACTTTCTTGAGCTCCACGGTTTCATAGTAGTTGTTCTTTCGCAAATAGCGCAGAACAAATGGAGACAGTAGACTCTCATCCACATCCTTGACATCCTGACGTCCAAAAACAAAGGTGGCTAAGTTGGAAAGAGTAATGGTGAGCAGGGCTCCCAACATGGCGTACAATAGAAAGGACATGTGATATATAGAGGATCCTTGGTGAGGCTCGCTAATAAGAAATATAGGTTATAAATATAAAATACCATATCGGTACCATAGAAAACTTACTATTCCGAAGTGGAGTTTAGGTAGCGACTCATATCGAAGTCGTATTCACAATTCTCCACCGAAACGGGCAATTTGGTGTGTCGGAAGGAACCGGTAATATTGGCAATTTGAGCATTAACCGCTATCCAGGCCATGGTTGCAAAGGAACAAATACTACCCACAAAAACGCACTGCAATTGAAGAATATTTATAAAAATATATACGAGAATTTTGAATATTATACCAACCTTTTCGCCCACCCAAGGCATGAGCATTCCCACCGTGAAAATGCCCAACATTGGTCCATATAGACTCGACTGGAGAGTTGCCGACAGCTGCAGCACCATTCCCAGTTTCTCCACCACATAGACCATGAAAATGGAGCTAATGCCGAAGGTCACCACCACCACTCGCATGGTCAGAGCCACGTGGCTCTCCTTCATTGATTTTCCCATTCGCGGTTTAACAAAATCCTCCAGGATTACGGCGGCCAGGGAGTTCAGGAGCGTGGATAAAGAGCTCAGGGCGGCACTGAAAACAGCCGACACAAAAAGTCCTGGCAGACCAGGAACAACGCCCAGAACACGCATCACTAGCAGGGGAACTAATTGATCCCGACGACCAGCAAGCTAAAAAATATAAACAAGAAATCATAAATCAGGCTTTAAAAATGCGCCTAAACCAGTGGTCGACAGCAGAGGCAGCGCAAGCAACCCATGGGTTACAAGTTTTTTCTTTCGCGACGTACACTGGTTTTAACTGACATAAATATAATCACTTTTTTAAGAGTTTTTATATTTTGTCAATGGAATATGGAACTTACTCCAGTAGACATGGGATCGCAATCGTAATAGGTGGCATAACACACCAATCCCACATAGATGCATCCCATATAAAGCAGGATCAGTCCAATGGAGAAGGTGAACAGAGTCTGTTTGATGGCCTTCAAGGAGGGCAGAGACATGAATCTCTGAACCGTTGCCTGATTAATGGATGTGCTCTGCAGCTTAAAGAAGGTTCCACCGACAAACACAGAGAAAACACTCAGACGAACTGTAGGATCCATAGTCCATCTGGGATAGAAGAAAACATATTAGTACCTATATGTTAATAGTATTTCAAATCTTCCACTTACTCTGGGGTATTGAGGCGTCCTCCCTCTTGATTGATCCGCCAAACATTTCCAAGACCGCCCAGGTCCAAGGTTCCCTTAATCATAATCACAACCAGGGATCCATACATAATAACGCTCTGAACGACATCCGTGTAGACCACGCCCTTAATTCCGCCTACACAGGTATAGAATGTGCATATGATGACCACAATGGGTGTGATGGTGTGGATTCCAATTCCAGACACTTGATTGAAGGTTAATGCTGGGACATAGACAGCAATGGGAAGCCATATTATCTGAAAGAATAACAATACTTTTAAGAAAAGGTCTTTTAAGTAATAATCTTGAACTCACCGCCTTCAGAACAAATAGGCCAGCTCCAAATAAACGCATTCGTCGGCTAAAACGTCTCTCAAAATACTGAAAGAGTGAGTGTGTATAAGTAAGGATTCATCAAGAATTGCTGATCACATAGGACAGACCCATTTAGAAGGATGATTATATAAGCTAGCTAAAGAAATCAAGCTTAAGCATTCGGTTAATTTTAGGTATAACAACATTTTATATAACTAAAAATAAACTACAGTGTTTTTGGGTTTTTGAATACACTGTTAATATATTTACGGGATTAAAGTAATATATAATAACTATCCCTATGACTTTTCGGACTGATCCAATTTGGTCTGAGTTTCCGATTCGTGGAGATTAAAATCGGATTTTTCATCACTTTCACTGGCCACACTCTTGTACTTTCCATACCAGAATTTTCTCAGTACTGGACTGATGAGTTCGGGATCCACCAAACGGGGATCCTGGCGACCAAAGTAGAGAGTGGCCAGCAGAGATCCAAGTACAGTGCCCACGGAACCCACAGCGGTGTACCACAAAAATGAGATCTCATGAAGGCCATGACTAGTGGATTCGATTGGAGTTCTGTTTTAAAATAAGAAAATTATCTGGTTACAAATATATTCATTAGAGTTTTAGTTCTTAGAACAATCACATACGCCGTGGTGGTGGCATTCCAATTCTCGGGGAGGTCAAAGGTATAATCACAATCCTCTATAGAAATGGGTTTCGCTGGGAAAGTCAGTGCTCCTGTGAAAATGGCTATCTGAGCTCGAACCACAATATAGGCTGTAAAGGTGGAGGCACAAGAGATGCCAGTGAGAAGACTCTAAAAACATAGATAACTATTTGGTAGGAAAATTTCCTAATATAAACTTTGTAAATCAAACCTCTGTCTTAACAAAAGGCAGTAGCATGCCCACACTGAAGGCTCCCAGGAGTGGGCCACAAGTTATGGCCGCCACTGTGGAGGATAGCTGCATGACTAGCCCCAATCTCTGGACAATCGGAACACTGGCCATCGAGACCAGGCCAAAGGAAATGACCACTCCCCTTAACAAATAGGCGGTTTGTCTTTCAGTCAAGGGCTTTTTCCTATAGGGTTCCACAAAGTCCGTGAGAATCACACCGGAAAGGGCATTTAGGGCTGTCGAAAGGGAACTCAGGGCGGCACTGAAAACTCCAGACACAAATAGACCAACCAGGCCGGGAATATGACCCACATTCTTGACCACATAGAGTGGGATAACTTGATCCTTCGCACGAGCAAGCTGCAATTTGAATAAATTATAATAAATTGAACTTCCTGTTTCCAGTTTTAAGAACTTACCCCCGTTGTGATGGGATCACAATGGTAAAACTCAGCAAATGCCAGCATTCCAATATAAACGCACATCAACATGACGAGCATAAAACCAATTAGGGATAGGACTAGAGCCCTTTTAACATCCCTATTGTTGGGCAAAGTAAGGTAACGCTGAACTATGGCCTGATTAATTCCATTTGCCTGCAATTTGAACAAGGCGCCACCAATAAACAAGGCAAACACACCCATTCTCGCAGTGGGATCAAAGGTCATACTGAAAGGAATTATTGTACTCGTATTATTACATATATTATATATTTTAGAAAATATATACTAACTCAGGACCAACCAGACGATCGTACTGACGATTGTGCTCCAACACAACGCTCAGGCCACCCAAATCCATAGTGCCCTTAATAATGACTATAAGCATGGATCCAACCATAACGATGCCCTGAATGACATCCGTCCAAACAACACCCTTGATACCACCCTGAAAAGCAATATAAGCCAGATATTAACTACATATAGATTACATCTTTATCCCGAATACGTACCACACTGGTGTACAAAATACAAACAAAACTTGTTAGGGGTACAATCTTGTGAACACTTATTCCAGAAACTGAAAAAAAGGAATCATAAATATTGTAAATAAAACATCAAAGGTTAGAAAATGTTTTTACCTTGATTTAGAGTTAAGGCTGGAACATAGATACAGATGGGTTGCCATAAAATCTAGAACAAATTATATCTTTAGTTATTTACTCTTATCATATCCATACTCAACTTACATTCATCACCACAAAGAGGCAGGATCCAAATATGCGAACCCTTCGATCGAATCGTCTTTCAAAGTACTAGGATAAACGAAATCAAACAGAAACAAGAACAGATATTTTATAGGATGCATGGTTATGTACAAGATGCATTGGGTAATGAAACATGCTGGATACACACAAAAAAGCAAATAAAAAGCATTTAGGCTGAACAAAAAGAGCAGATTTTATTGACAAAGTTTAATTCTCAGTTTCGATCTTGCGCATGAAAAGATCCTGCATATTAACCGCTTGATAGTTCTTTTTGGGCAGAAAGCGTCTCATACAGGGCGTAATCAAGGCGGGGTCCATTTTATTGAGATCTTCCCAGCCGAAAATCAAGCCAGCTAACAAGGAGACTATTGTACAAATAACACCACCCAAAGCAGTGTACCAAAGGAAGGACAAATGGTAGAGGTTCCTTTCCGAGGGTCTAAAAAATAATATAAAAATATATTATTAGTGGGCTGATCTAAGCTTCCCATACTTACCTGTACCCGTGGATGGTCTCATGAACTGTTTGGTTATCAAAAGCATAGTCACAACCATCCACTGAAACGGGTAGTTTGGGATAGCGAATTTCTCCATTCATTTGGGCCAACTGCGCCTTGACACATATCCAGGATAGCACCAAAAAGGACACCAAGCTTCCTAGAAGAACGCTCTAAGATTTGACATTATTATAAATTATTAATTTTAATTAAAATTAAATGATATCAACCCACCTTTCCCTTAACCCATGGCAGGCCCACGCCCATGCAGTAAATCCCCAAAAGAGGACCCATCGAAACTGCGGCTGTGCTGGTGGCCAATGGAACCACTTGTCCCAACTTCTCCACAATGTTCACCATCCCCAAGCACGAGAATCCGCAAACAACCACAATTGCCCGCAACCAAAAGGCCGTCTGGCGTTCGGTCATCGGTTTTTTCAGCAAGGGTCTTAAGATATCCTGAGTAATCACACAGGCCAGGGAGTTGAGACCCGTGGAAAGGGAGCTCAGGGCGGCACTGAAAACCCCAGACACAAATAGTCCTGGTAATCCAGGTAGAGAACCCAGAGTTCGCATCATTAGCAGCGAAGGCAGTTGGTCAACGGCAGCAGCTAACTGAAATAAATATAAATTAAATTCTATATCAATACTAGATAAAATATGGTACCTATTTATAAGAAAAAAACTCTAAATGGAATATATTCAATGAGTATATATATAAGTATTTTTCTGGAGAGCTTGCTTACCTTAGTACTTATTGGATCACAATCGTGGTATACTGCATAGGATACCAATCCCATATAGCTACAGCAGCTGAGGAGGAATACCAGGAGCAGTGTGAAAATCAGCATACATCTCTTAGCATGCTGGTAACTTGGCAGGGAGAGGAATCGCTGGATGGACACCTGGTTGACATCCGAGGACTGGATCTTATGCAGAGTGCCGCCCAAAATCACAGACAACATGGACAGCCGCACTGTGGGATCCCAAGTCCACCTGATGGTTTTTAAAATAGCCACATAATTACTGGGAAAATTAATCATCACGCAGACTTACTCCGGTGAATTGAGACGTCCGCCGTCTTCATTTCGCTGCAGAACCACGCCCAGTCCGCCCACATCGAAGGTGCCCTTAATGCAAACTGCCAAAATGGAGCCAAACATCACAAAGCTCTGAATGACGTCTGTCCAGATGACGGCCTTCAGCCCGCCCTGAAATAAATGAAATCTTCAAGTTGGTCGACAAGTTTGTAGATAGATTTAATTAACACCTCACCACACATGTGTAGAAAGTGCAGATAGTGCACACAATGGGCGTAATTACATGGATGCCAGTTCCAGTCACTGAAAGATGGTAATATAACAATAAGAAGGAATATTTGCAAGGATGCACACAAAAAAAACCTGGTCTAATTTGGTTTTAAGTCCAATAACTGGGAAATTTGATGTCTATCTAAAGCTAATTTTTTAACTCCAATAAAAATAAAGTCAAAAATGATAAAAGAATATATTCTTAGTCAATAAAATATTATAGTAACTATAGGGCTAAGTTTTCCGAGTGCATTTATTGGCAGACAGTTAATTGAAATGGTTAGGCATAATCTAAAATCAAACTTACCCTGATTGTAGGTGATGGCCGGTACATATAACGCCACAGGAAGCCAGAGCATCTGAGAAAGGAAATGATAACATATAAAGAAAATGAATTAGACTATATATACTCACCGTACCCACAATGAAGAGCACCGATCCCAAATTGCGTATGCCAGCGCCATAGCGCAATTGAAAGTACTAAAGATTTAAAGGATTTCATTTGGTTAGACACAACATGAAATATAAACAATACTTAGACCAAAATTTTAAATCATGCAGAGCTGAATGAGAAGATGCTGGGGATTAGTTATTAACATGCCTGGTCAAGCAACCCTAACTTAACTAAAATAAACTTGAAGTGCTGCTTAAGAGTATGTTTTATTGACAAGTACATGGCAGGAAATTACTTTCTAAGACTTCTCATTGAAACTTTTCAAAGTGTTGTCGTCCAGTTTTACACTAGTATAGCTAGACTTGTAGAACACGCGAATAGCTGGCGATATAAGCTCAAGATCAACATCTTCGGCCTTATTACGGCCAAAGATAAAGCCAGCCAGATGGGCGGCGGTCACGCCCACTACGGCACCCATACTGCTATATAACATAAAAGAGATGTTGTACAGCTGCTGGGCAAAGCTGAGCGATCTGTGGAGACAACCTTAAGAGGTGATTGAAATTCATAATATCTGGCTAAACTTACGCAGATTCTGTTATGGGAATGGTGGTATTGGCAGGGCTCAATATGTCACGATCGAACTCATAGTCACAGCCTTCTACACTAACTGGTTTGGCCTCGAACGTAATTTCTCCAGAGTTTATGGCCAATTGGGCAGATAGGCACAGCCAGCCCATGAAGAAAAATGAGCATAGAGATCCCACTATGGCGCTCTAAAAGAAAATACTTGAATAAACAACAGAAAAAGGTATTTTATAAGTTCAAGGAAGACTAACCTTTGAGTTAATGCTTGGGCACAGCAGGCCCATCACGAAAATACCCAAAAGCGGACCCTGAACAATCGATCCCACGGTCATGGAAAGCTGCATCACGTGGGAGCCCATTTGTTCGACCACGAAGACCAGAGCCACACTCACGACTCCAATGATCACAGTACAGACTCGCATGGTGACGGCAGTCTGGTGTTCCGTTAGAGGTTTCCTCGTCAAGGGTTTGATATAATCCTCCAGGAAAACCGCAGCCAGGGAGTTCATACCCGTAGACAGGGAACTGAGGGCCGCACTAAACACTCCGGCCACAAACATGCCGGGAATTCCGGGAAATGAGCTCATGGATTGGACCACGAGCAGGGGAACCAGCTGATCCTTGGCCGCCGCCAGCTGCAAGTAATTTCTAAGTCAGTGGGGATTTTAAAAAATGTATGGATAGGATGCACCCCTTTTATAAGCCTTATAGTTAGATATGATAAAGAACTTCACCAATTAAGGGGTATTTTATAAATATATATTATACTAAAATTTAGTGGTTCGAATATTTAGATTATATTTGGAATGGAGGTCAGTTGCAGCCTAACATAATTAGTTAATAGTCACCTACCTTTGTGGTCAAGGGATCACAGTCGTAGTAGGTGGCGGACAGCAGGAGTCCATTGTAGAGGCAGATGGCCATCAAAGCCACCAATCCGAAGATGAAGAGGAACGAGCAGTGGGCCATCTCCTTGATTCCGGGTAGAGACAAGTACCGCTGGGTGATCATCTGATTGCAGCCGAGATTATAGGTGTTGTGGGCCACGTGTCCCACCAACATTGCCATCATGGACATTCGCACCTTGGGATCAAGCGTCCATCTGTTTCGAAAATGTCTCAGATTATGAGCAGGCAAGGGAGCCCATGTACCCCACAACCTGGCGGGATAACTTCCCCGCCATGAGTGTGGTACCCGGCCTAGTAAACATTTTGCTTCACCCACTCAGGCCACTCCAGTCGTCCGCTCTCGAAATTCCGCTGAATAACCACGCCCAGGCCGCCCAAATCGTAGGTTCCCTTGACGATGACGAAGATAATCGCTCCCACCATAATGACGGTTTGGATCACATCTGTCCAGACAACGGCCTTCAGGCCCCCGGCAGTTGTGTAGAATATGCAGACGAGGCACACGATGGGCGTGATGACATGGACATTTATTCCAGTTACTGGAAAAGTGTTCTTGTTAACCTATGGAAAATTCCTTAAGGGAGCTTTAAGTAACTCAAAAGTTGATTGTTTACAAATTTGAATCACTTCTCAGCTTCTGTTATTCTCAAAAAATGAATACATGTAAAGATATTTAAATTAGCTATGAAAACATGTATGAATTGTCAAGAACCCGTGAAGAATATGATTAAAACAGGAAAGTATTAATTCGGAAGTTCTTAAATGTTATGTCTGAAATTGTTTGAAGGTTCTAAAATTAGGTAATGTATGTTAAAAGACTTTTTTTATTAAGTAGGTACACTAAAACAAGAAATAATCATGCTTAATTAAAAAAATTAAGTTTAAGGCTGGGTGAAGGTAAGAGTTAGCAAGTAGATATAACTTCAAAAATTAAATTCAACTTTTTTCTACACATAAACAATCTTAAGTTTAAGAAAGGGGAACGAAATAATATGAAAGGGAAGAAGGGAAACCCAATTCGAATTGTTTAATTGGTTTATGATTTCTCATTGGAACTTATAATAGAGTTATCGTGCAGATTAACGCTGGTGTATCTGGACTTCTGGAATCTTCGTATGCAGGGCGAGAGCAAGTCATCTTCTATGTCTCCGGCTTTATTTCGGCCAAATATAAAACCGGCCAGATGTCCTGCAATCACACCCACTGTGCCCCCCATAACAGTGTAGAACAGGAAGGAAATGTGGTAAAGCTGCTCAGCGAAACTGAGGGACCTGCAGGATTAGTTTTGAGTGATGAGGAGGGCACGGATAGTTTTAGGGACTCTGAAAAACTTACGGAGTTTCTGCTCCAAGAAGGGTGACATTTGCGGGAGTCACCAGGGAACGGTCGAACTCATAATCACAGCCTTCGATGCTGACTGGCTTTTCCGGGGAATGAATTTCGCCAGAGTTAATGGCAATTTGGGCCGTAATACTAAGCCAACCCATAAACAAGAAGGCAACAAGGGATCCCGTAATGGCACTCTTAAACGAAATAATAATTTTTAAAGGCTCTTCCCAATTATTTTTCAGCCATGCAAAAAAAAACTTTCAAAAAGGGTACCCCAGATTATTGCTTTGATTTTATAAATATCGAATTTGTTTGGGCAATTAAAAACTTTGACAAAAATTTAGAATGGGTTTTCAAAAGTTCTTTTTCTAGATGAACGGCAACTAACTTTGGAGTTGATACTTGGGCACAGCAGACCCATCGTAAAGAGACTAAGTAGCGGACCCTGGACCACTGAACCAATGGAAATTCCCAGCTGCAGAACATGGGAGCTCATCCGCTCGACCACGAAAACCAGGGCCACACTGACAACTCCAATGATCACTGTACAAAGACGCAGAGTCACACCGATCTGGTGTTCCGTAAGGGGTTCCTTCGCCAAGGGCTTGATGTAATCCTCCAGAAAAACAGCGGATAGGGAGTTCATACCCGTAGACAGGGAACTCAGGGCGGCACTGAATACTCCGGCCACAAAAAGTCCGGGAACTCCGGGAAATGAGCTCATGGATTGGATCACAAGCAGGGGAACCAGCTGATCCTTGGCAGACGCCAACTGTAATTTATTAATTTCTCAGTCATAAACATCTGTCGTAAACTTCAACAACTGGAACCCAAAAAACCCTAAACTCAGACTTCTTTCATATTGATTTGTGCCAATTAAGGAAACATTTTTAGAAAGAATTTCATTCTGAGTTGAAAATTGATTTGATTTCCAATCTTAAAGACTCATTTTCGCACCTTTGTGGTCAACGGATCGCAGTCGTAGTATGTTGCGAAAAGCAGTAGGCCATTGTACAAGCACAGTGTAAACAAAAGAGTGAGTCCCACAATGAAAACGAAGGATGTGTGTGCCATCTGTTTAACCCCAGGAAGGGACATGTATCGCTGGGTAATCATTTGATTGCATCCGAATTGGTAGGTATTGTGGCCAACATAGCCCACCATCAAGGCAAACATTGACATGCGAACTTTGGGATCGAAAGTGAATCTGTTTTCGAAACGAATTCATATATTATACGTTAGGACCATCCAATAGTTTTCACCCACTCTGGCCACTCGATTCGTCCGCTGTCGAAGTTCCTCTGAAAAACCACGCCCAGTCCGCCCACATCGAGGGTGCCCTTGATAATGACAAAGATAACCGCTCCTATCATAATGACGGTTTGGATCACATCTGTCCAGACAACGGCCTTCAGGCCCCCGGCAGTTGTGTAGAATATGCAGACGAGGCACACGATGGGCGTTATAATATGGATATTTATTCCAGTGACTGGAAGAGTTCACAAAGGTCAGCACATGAGCAGGAAAAGCCAATGAATAGACCAATAGAGATACAATTGTAATCAAAAAACTTTAAAAAAATATCTTTAAAAAAATATTATTAATATGTGATAACTTTAATTAAGTATTTCAAATATGATATAACACATAATCTGCTTTTGTAAGGGTTCTTGACAATAAAGTGGATTTAGAAAATCTCTCAATGTAATTTTGCAATTTGGAAAACTTTTTACAATCTTTATTTCTTTTTTTCTTACCTTGGTTAAAGGCCAGAGCTGGGACATAGATGACAATTGGCAGCCAGATCAGCTACGAAAAAGACAGTTTAGTAGGCATTTAGATTGCTTTATGATTAATCCTTTAAGATCTTGAAAATTTTTAAGTATTTCTTTAGCCAAATATTGCACTATACTTACATTTGCAATCGTGAAAAAGGCGGAGCTCAGCAGACGAACCGATTTGTTAAAGCGCAACTCGAAATACTGCAAATATTTTTTTCCCAATAGATTGTTTTTGTCTTTCGGTTAACACACAATAAGGATGGCCCACGCACACACAGACACCCCAGTGCGAGTGCGTGTGTGCGGGGCAACGCGGCGCATACATAATCGAATATTACTCATACGACATGTAGCCTGGCAGCAACTTATAAACTACGACTATCCCCGTATGCCAACTGGTACAATTGTGTATTGTTCGGGCTTATTGCAGCTGGCAGACAAGAAAAAAAGCATTGTGTGCCAAAATCTATGTATGAATGGCATGCAAATAAACCGGCATTCAGGGAATTCTTACAGCTGATTGCACTTGTTTTTGCCACAGAACATGTACTCCCTGCTCGTTATTTGGCTTCAGCTTTGGCCTTAGCTTTACTTACACATTAACATGCCATCGAATATCAAAAGAATCCAAATTCGTACACTCAGAAACATAGAATTAATGCGTAACATGCAGAGTCCAATAGGTAAACACACACATTCTTCTTTCTCTAGAATTGGACAACGTTCTGCTTACCTCATAGGTGGAAGTCAGCTGGAGATTGCAGAAGACGGGCAGGAAGATGTACCACGAGATGGCTCCCGAGATGGCCAGGGTCACCAGGATGAAGGCGTACTGGGTTCCATACACATAGATCTCCGTCGAGGTTCCCAGCAGCGAAATTCCAGACACGAAGCTAAAAGCGTAATACAAGTAATTAGTTCACGCCAATTACGTCCGAAGCTTAAAGTTCAGCAACGCTAATTGCCAACCGATTGATCAGGATCTATTTTTGACTTGCCCAAGTTTTCATCTTCATCTTCTTATTTTTGCCCTCGCACAAAGTCAACTTTGGGAAACATATTTAATTGAATTAAGCTGGGGCCACTCAAGTGGCTGGTCAAAGTTATGACGAAGGTGGCCAGCATTTGGGAAACAAATTTAAGGTAATCGATTGGATATTGCTTAAGGGATTAATAAACCTTCAAAGATTAAGTTATTTCTAGTCTTATATTGCTGTTTCACCTTACATAATAAATTGCAGCACGTATTCTTCCATATTAAATCAAATACAATCCAAAAAAATGTCTAGCCGCTTTTGGCGAAGAAAACTTTTCCTGTGCCCTGCATCGCGTAATAAGATTTTAATGATTAATGTCCATAACAATCATCATTTCAATTTCGGCCCAAAACAAATGAATTGCCACCGCAGACACAGAAAGTTGATGGCCGAGAGAGAAATGCCATTTAAAGTTGATAACAAGCGGCGTTAAAGTATGCAGACACACACAGCAAAACAATTTGTTTAGAAAAATTGAAAAAATGTGAGAGGCACAAAGGACATTTGGTAGGCAACACAAAAAATGATGGCATGTAATTGTAATTCAAAGCACGTTGGCTGAATTTGTTGCAAAAAGCAAACGACAACAAATAGAATGCCATAACAATAAAAGGCTCACGAAACAATTGTCAGCGGGCGAGGCAAATGACCAGGCGCAGGATTTCTCGGCCAGGATTTCGGGGAACAGGACCTGTCGGCCGGGTCATTAATGCGGCAACGACAACACGGCTAAGACAAAGGACCCGGGGCCGCACCCTTCGAAAGGTGTTTGACCAAAACGTGTCAAACGGAAAATCACCTCTAACCCATCTGCGAAAAAAAACACCAAGGTCACTCGGCCGAACACCAAAAAGAAAAAGTAATTTGGCCAAATTATTTGAGTTTGCGGCCATGCGCAAGTTTAAACAACTTCAATCTGGCTTAGGGACACGCCGAGCTGCTAAGTTGTATTCAGATGGCAGATATAAGGATATATTTACTTGCAAAGTTCCGCAAGCCATTTGAATATCACCCATCCATTAAGAACGCTTGACCCTGACAATGAATATTGTTTACGGAATCCGCCCAGCCCTTCTCGTCTTGTCTCGCAAACTTTTAAATAAAACGCCACTCTGTTTGCCCTCGCCAAACAATTCGCCAGACAATGCTGGACTGGGGCAGATAATCCAGATTACGGATACGCACGTTTGGCCAACTGGACGACGGCATAAGGCGGAACGACTGGAAAATATATACATTGATTGATTTGCCGGTTTTAGGCTAAGCCCATTACGATAATTTGTGCAAATATTAGCCGCATTCAAGTGAATGCAAAGCATTCAATTTTTGAGGATTATCCCAGCTTAAAGCGGCCTGAACAATAAATTTCCCGAGTGCTGCCCCGCCACTTTCCCATTTAGGACCCTCAACCTCCTCGTTGGCCATGTCAAAAGTAATTAAGCAGGTCTGCACTGGAAAAAACTGTGTGAGGTATTTTTGCATGATTTCGAAAACTTATTGTAAAAAAACATCCTGAGACTTTTGGTATAAGCTCAACTAACTTCCTGCAACATGAAGAATTTGTAAACATTTTAAACTATGCAGGTGTATAATTATTATAGGGTCAGAAAAAGTGAAACAAAATTTTTTAAAATCATAGCTTCACATATTTTAAACATAAGAAAAAAAATCATTATATGTTTTAAATCAAATCGCTAATATTAAGTGCCATTTAAAAAATATATTGTGGAATTCATATCATGTCTAAGGATTAAGGTATGTAAAGGTATTGTTATATATTAAAACAATTTTTTATTTAGATATATTTCTGACCTATTTTCAAATTACATATTATATCTTTCTTAACATTTTCTTTCCAAAAAAATTATTTTTAGTATGTAGCCTCGTTTTGCTTTCAGTGCACATCCTGGTGGCTAGCCAGGAAAAAATACGCAGGCCCCATTTAGCATTTGCATATATATAGATGTAGTGGCTGGCGAAACTGTGACTGTAACTCACCTGGCCACAAGTGACAGCGCGACCGGAAACACTTTCATTTGGCGTCCGCCCACCAGGTAGTCCAACGCCTCCGAGCCACGCCTCTCCTCGACGCCCGCCGCCCCCCCGCCGTCCTTTTTGGCCAGCTTGTGCTTCTTCTGCTTCTTTTCGATGAAGCCAAAATAGAAGCCGATAACGGCGCAGACCGCCAACATGGCGATGAAGACCAAGTAATCAACAATGCCGAAATGCTGCAGGGCCTGGCTCAAATCCTTCACGCTGAGTTTCTGCTCGGCATCCTCCGAGGAGGGGGGTAATGATTGAACGGGAGTGGGCGTTGGAGTGGGCGTGGTGGTGGTGGTGGAGGTCGTTGGAGAAGTGGGTGTGGATGAGGAAGTGGCGCCAGTTGAGACCGCATTGCTAATTACGGCCACTGTCTTGGCAATCACGTTAGCCACCGTTGTGGAGGTTTTGGCCACCACAGCCTCATCCGCCACAGGGGTGGAGCTGGCCCCCAACCCCACTCCCAGCGCCACGGGATCGGCAGTGGTTGACATTATTTCCGGCACCGCAAGTTGCTTTTATGTAGTTTATTTTTATTGACTTCCAGCCGTGTCGCTTTAATGCCTTCGACTTTGATTACTTTTGCATTTAGCTTAACACACGCACTCGCACTGTGAACTGAATTCGATTTTGGATTAAGTACTTGGAAGTAGTTCTTTTAAGAAAGGGTTTCTTATACAAGGGATAATCACTTGATACCTTATCTTGAGACCCCTTAGTCATTTCTTAATAAGCTTGAACTTTAATATTGTATCAAAAACCAAGTAAAAGCAAATATACGATAAAATAAATTATACTTGAACTTGATCTCCAAAGTACTGGATTAAAAAAATGTATAAAGTTATGTTAAAAACATCTATCTCAAAATATTTTTTATCTTTAGAACTCCAATGTCCTAAATGCTTTCAAGGTCGAAGAATCTCAAGAAATAGTATCACGATTGCCGAACCCTCCGCTATTAAAATCAAAATTCTTTCTAAAAGGCAAAACAAAATATTTTGATTTTAAGTTTAAACACTTTTTAGGATATTAATTGACACTAATTAGTCTTTTTTAAACACGCACGTTGTCAAGATCCTTGAGTTTCGGATTCAGGATAATTTAATTCGATTTGGAAGCGAGCACACACAAGTGTATTGTCCAAATCTCCGCCGAGCACTGAACTAATTTTCCGCCGCGAGCTGCGTTAGAGATCTCCGGAGATCCGAGATCTGAGTTCTGATCTTATCCAAGTCCGGCGACAAAGCATCAGCATCATCAGATTGGCCGATCGTAATTCACGCAAATCTTGTAAGAGTGTGGGCAGAGGCTTTGTGTAAAGCTTTGTCGCCTAAATTGCCCAGGGGCATGTCGGATCCGGATAGATAAGTCTACTTATAAGTGCACACCCCCATTCGGGTGTGAGCTTGATATGGACAGTGTGTGTATCTTTGTCTAGCCCCAAGATCTGGCAGATAGTAAATTACTTTCTTTGTACGCGGACGTGTCGCGTCTGTGGTTTTATTGCACAGGGGAGGTTCTAAATAAAAATGCATATCCCTCGCGCAGTTCCCATATTTTTTCGAATATCTTTTTTTACAACTTCAGAAAGGGGTACATTTCCATGATAATACGTGGTACGCATGTACAAGGTTCTGACTCAAACGAGTGGCTACTGGTTTTGTGATAAAAATTGAATAGTGATGTGGAATGACTTCGTAGGTTAAACGGAGTGTGGGCCAAGTCATTGTGTTTGCCGTAGATAAGACAGAAATACCTAATATTTCCTAAGTGCGCTCAGTCAAGGGTAAGACGTGACGCATGCGTGATGTACACGGGTCTATAATTAAATGCCAAGTGCCCAGGTCAGGCCTAAATTTCACCATTTTGGACAAAAGGATGCGATAAAAAATTGAATTTTGGAAAATGGCCAACAGATATCCCATCAAATCAAGTTAAAGTTCAACCCAACAAAGCTTAAAAGCATTGTCAAAAAATAGCGTCAGCTAAAATAAAGTTGTACTTGCTATTTTATTGGACTAAATGCACCTTAATGGGAACACAATGGCTATGATATCATCAATTATGATATGTTCAAACGCTCAACTGCACTTGCACAGAGGCTTCCCTTACAATCCAAATATGTTGCAAGGTATTATATATATGTATATACTATATATATAGCATAACTAGCCAGCACACCAACTAATTGATTTTTGACAATCAATTACGGCAATTACTTACGTCTGCTGCAGGGTCGAATGGAGGAGGTAAATTCAATTTGTGGAAACCTACAAAACGCACACAACGTGACTCTGGCTTTTCGGTAATCTTTTACTGAGCTAATCCCTTGTAAACAAGGATAGCCTTCGAATGGCAGAAGGAGCAGCTGGAATAGGTCTTTATTAATATGTGCGCAAGGAACCCAATATATAAATGGAAAAAGGGGGTAAAAGCTCGAAAAATAAGAACACTTTAAGTTTGTGTTGTTAAAGCTGCGTGGATTATTTAAAATATCATATATTTAAGCACTTCCTTATAAAAAAATATAAAGTTTTTAAAGTAAAAACACAGATAATTTTTCTTAAAATGTTTTAAGCATATTTCAAAGTGCTTCTAGTTTATTACAACATGACCCAATACAATTTTTCACCCCTAATAACTACTTTAAATTCCTGTTCTATAAATAAATTTAATCAGCTCTATAAGCTACCAGGAACCATCCCAATATAAACAAAATGAAATTGGACCAATGGCTAATTTTGATGCGCTTTAATGAGACTTCTTATCACTACCGTATAATATAATCCAATGAGAAATTCCATTACGAAGCTTCTCTGTCCTATAAATAGTTGAAATCGGCCCCTTAGATACCAGAGAAGATCCTATTGTAAACAAAAGAATATTACACCACGTAAAAAAGCCATGATAAACAATGTAACAATAGTCATAAAGCAGGAGATAAAATCATATTTAAATTCGTAAGCGTGTGCACCGTATTTATGCGACGAATTATACAGCTGAACTAAACCATAGATAGCGGGGGCCAACTGCAATATAACACCTAGCCCCTGTAAATATGTCTCCGGAAAAAACAGAAAAAAGAAAATGCTACAAAATTTAATTATTTTTATACAACAAGCTAAATGAAAACCAGGCGAAAAGAAAAAATAAAGTTGAGCATATGCAAAAAGTGGGAGTAGCAGCAGCAGCATCACTTAATATGTCTGGGAACCGCAGCTGTTTTGGCCTTATGACTCCCGCCAAAAATAAAACCTTTACTCTGGGGAATCCTCTTCACCCACTCACCTTTAACAAGCCCCCTTTTGAAGCCCTGCGAATGTTTGTGCAGTTAGTGTTTGGAAATTTTCCCATTTCCGTCTGCAACTGCAGCTCCATTTGCTCAAAGCGAACTGCTGTTGCCTTGACTTTGGCTCCATTTTAGTTTTCCTTGTGTGCTTTCTCTTTTTTTTTACACGGTATTTAAAGGAAGAATGATTATATTGGATTTAAAAAAATTTAAATAAAAAGGGAAATTAATTTTCCATCGTTTCTAGCATTCCTAATGGTTTAAAGAATATGTTTGGAATGGTACTGCCTATACCAAAAACTAATTAACATACATTAATAATACTATTTTAATATACTACTTTAGCCAACTAGATACGATAAGCTATCAAAATATTACTCTCTTTACTATATTTTTAAAATAATAAAGACACACATTGACCTTTAAGGAAGCGAAGCCAGTTAACCGTTTAGTAAGTACTGGGTATCTTTAAAGTCATATCCCTCGACTTTATAGTTTTTGTGTGTATTTTGTGTTGTGCACACTTGAGCCAATTTAACGCTTCCGTGTGTTTTTTACTTGCCACGGCTCGTTGACTGAGCTGGAAAACTTTTTGCGCGGAGCTCTGGAGAGGGAAAAAAATAATTTAATTTGTACCTAAAAACCGAAAACACAATCCCTAAATTAGCGCTACTCCGCCACGAACACTTCAATTAATCCAGTTAAGTAATCGCAGGCCAGCAGAACTATTCAGTGCCATTGATTGCTGGGCCCACAAATTAGGAGCAATTAAATCAAATCCGGATTGCACTGGGGCATTCATTCATCGCATCGCCCACGCAAATGGCGGCCTTGAACTTGCCAACCTCTTTGGCCAACATCCATTAGCCAACAGCTAACAGAAAAGCCAGACTCTGTTCTAATACCTTCATCTGCCTTTTATTTTTTACATATCCACCCGGGGCCATTTATGCTCAGACACAAGCCCAGAAATCGGCTTGGGCCTTGGGGGAGTTGCGTTGATGCCAAGAACCATAAAATGGGAATGAAAAGCTTGAATATGCATTATTCTTTCAGCTGGCCGGCCATCAACTGGCAATCAGAAGTTGCTCGAGTGGAAAAATCAAATGTATTCCCCTGTCCAAATGTGTGAAGTGGGCGGGGCGTACTGAAAAGTGGATGTGGTTGCAAGGAAAAGCGTCTGAAAAGATGTCAATCCATAAACTAAGTAAGTAAGTATCTTATCTTTTGGCACAACTAAGATAGCAATCTCTGTTTAGGCACATGCTTAGGTCAAGTATTTTTCCTGTCTAGATTAGTTATTGGGGAAAGTTTCAGGTACAAGCAGTAACCCAGAAACACGTTGTTAAGTTTGACTGAAAAGAATTCTAAAGTAACCACTTCATTGACTCTGTTTTTTCATAGAAAATTTAATATCATTTCCTTTTTTTCTGAGTAAATAAAAATGGTTTAAATGAGACTAGCTTACCGATGAACTTAAAATAAATCCGATTATCATAGGCAATGAGAGCCTCTGAGATTAGGAAACCAATCAATTACATTCCGCTGTTCCTCAGCTCGTATTCCTCCATTATGGCAATCACAGGCTCGTTAACATATTTACGGACCTCCCGGTTCAGGGAAAAATCACCATGATTCCACTCCGGATCCGCCATGTGATGCATCACCTTATTTGGTAATCTATTGGCTATTTCCTCAACATCCTCCACGGCCGCAAGATCATCACTATCAGCATACCATAAATGCACCAGGGAACTTATCAACTCCACAGGATATTCCGGAGGTTCCTCGGATCCGTAAACCTGCAGATTCTTCTTGGTTCCATGGTCATATTGACGGAAGTAGCCCGACTGCTGTTCTTGCAGATAGTGCAACATTTGATCGGTGGAACAGCCCGCAGGATGGGTGGCCATAGCTTCAGGCATGGCAGTCTTATAAACATTATATATTAATTAGTAATCTTTAAAAACATTTTTAAAAAGTAAACTTACCATATTCACACGACCTCCAGAATAAAGAGTTTTCATGGCACTTTCACACACAGGTCGGTAAAGGACATCAGGTTGACAAATGTTAAAGAACAAGGCCATGACAAACTCATTGTAAGGCAAAAACTCCTGGGAGCCAAAGAGGATCGAATAGGCATTCCTGTGGCCCAAATAGGGACCCAAGTATTGCACCAAAGGGCTGGATAAGTTCTTCATAATAGCCACCGGGGCAAACAAGTGAGCGGTTTTAATCTTGGCGTTATAGGCGGGAATCGAAGACATCAGGGCAAAAAACACCGTAGTACCCTGCGAGTGACCCACATAGTGGATGGCATCCTGACCCTCACCATTTTCCGTCCTCAAGGCATAATCAATAATAGCCGAAATATCGTAGATGGCGATCTCATGCCAACTGAATTGCCAGAACAGTGGATGATCCGTGGAGAGATTTGTATGATTTCTGGAATAGGAAGTACCGCGAGCATTGCCCATCCACACATCATACCCCGCATCCGCCAGCAAATATGGCAGACTGTCATTTGGTCCTTGCAATATCCAGGCATCCGAACAGCTCGTCAAACCATGTTGAAGAAGGACAATGGGTCGCTTTGCATTCTGGTTCTGCAACTTATGAGAGTACGGAATGCGGAATACTCCCAGGATGTAACCATCTTCGGTTATAATATGATGATGTTCCGAAGGATATCCATGCGCGGCAGTGCGGTCAGCCTAGGGATGAAGAAATAACAACATATTAAGAACTTAAATTTAATAATAACCATTTTAATTGCTTTGAACCTACCGTGGTTGCTTTACCCTTGAGACTAATATGCGCTTCAGGATTATCGTACAGTTTGTAGAAATCAATGGGTCCTTCTATAGCCGCAGAATAAACTCCCACGAGCAAAACAGCCAGAATAAGTAAGCTAGTCGTAGATCTCCTCATTATACTTATGTTTCCGATGGTTCGATGCCAACTGACTGCTGGCAAACACATGACTTTCAGCTTTTGTAGAGGTCCGCGGGTGGTTCAGTTTCAAGTAGCTCTTACTATCGGTGCTTCGATTATTTATATTTATACTGTTGGGATAATCCATAAACAATATAAGGCGCAAATCTAAAAGTTATAAAACTCGGATTTAAGAAATTGCTAGTTTATAATAACACAACATATGATACCTCTTAAAAAATCATTAAACTACATAAAAAGTATTTTTACCATATTGAAAAGTTATTATTATTGATTACTTTAGAGTTTTATTATATATGGAAAAAAATTAAATTATTATTAAAATGTGTTTGTGATATAAACTTCATATATTTTATTTGGTTTTTCAAAACAATAACAATAATTATTCCCCTGATCAAATCCAAACACGTCACTTGGCGTGCTTCAATAAGCTTTCTAACTTATCGGCTACTTAAGCTACTTGAAGAAATTTTTTGATAATCTAAATAAAGGTGTACCCCCGTCAACTTTTTTAGATTATAAAGCCATTTATAGATTTATAGAGCAGTAGTAGTATATTTTACGAGCTCTACCTGTAAATGGGAAATTTGTTTTTTGATAACAAGAGTCGGCTAAGATCTAATGAATTAAATATACACATGGAGGAAGTTAATGTCGAGTATGAAGTGGAAATCTGATGAAGTGAGTCTACTTATTAATGTCTAAGCTGCATCCGTTATTGATAAGATATACACAAGTGTGAATTAAATATAAAGAAGTAATTCTAAAGATTGTGACCATGTCCATATCACTTCGCCTCGTACTTGTTCAAGATGGCTATTATTGGATCATTGATCCCAGTTTACCGTATCCGGACCATCGGTCAAGGATAAGTGTGCTTAAGGATTATTAAACAGTTCATAGAAGTTGGGAACCTCCGTTGGATCCCGTTCGTTAGGGAGAGGGACACCTTGGACCAATATCCTCAGAAAAATGCCGACAAAGGCAGCAAAGACAACGACGTGCCACCTATACATTTTTATACTGCACTGGTGCGAAAATACCGAGCACTACGACCTTATAAAGACTTCCACCGGGCACTCAAGTTAAGTACTTATTTTGATAGGAACCGATCAGGCAAAGAGTCAATTAAAAGAGAGTAAGTTCAAGTGGTCGAAATATCATAAACACCGTGGAATATTTGTACGAAAAATGTTTCCCATACGGACATTGCCCTTTTTTGGATTTTCCACCGAATTTCCCAGCGGATTAAATACGTTTATTTTCATTTCCCAAGATAAGAGGAACTCAAGCGGTTAAGTTCAGTATAAAAAAAAGGTAAATTCCGCTACAACTTGTAGTAATAACTTTTTGTGGGAGGTTAGTTTAATTTTATACGACCACTTCAGTTATTGAGCGATTAATTGGTTCATTTAGATAATCGATTGCCGGGCAGTATTCTTTATAAGAACCAGGTTTGCCCAGTTTTACCAGTAGTTCGGTCGCAAAATGCATAGATCTAACATCGGTGTCTACACTGCCTTAGTGGTCAGTTTTCTGGGAACAATTGTCCTAGGTGCTCCTCTTTCTAACGAAGGGGATCCTGCGGAGATTACTAACTTTTATGAACGGTTTAATAATCCCGATGCACATCTATCCTTAACCAATGCTCCAGATACGGTAAATAAAATCTATTTAATTTTTTAAGGACAAAATAAATAATCATAAGCTCGGTTTGCAGACATATTTTATCCAGGAGCATGGTTACCCAGCGGAACGTCATTATGTGACCACTGAAGATGGCTATATAATCAGTCTCTTCCGAATTCCCTATTCCCACAATTTAAAGAACCAGGATGAGAAGAAACCAATTGCCTTTATGCAGCATGGACTCTTTGGCAGCTCCGATGCCTGGCCAAGTTTGGGACCGAATGATGCCCTTCCTTTCCTGCTTTCCGATTCAGGATATGATGTTTGGCTGGGCAATGCTCGGGGAAACAGATACTCCAGAAACCACACATCCCGCTCCACAGATCATCCGGACTTCTGGCGCTTCAGTTGGCACGAGATTGCCTATTTCGACATCGCTGCTGCCATTGATTATACCTTGTCCACGGAGAATGGAAAGGATCAGGAGGGAATCCACTATGTGGGTCACTCGCAAGGCACCACAGTCATGTTTGTCCTGATGTCCTCGAGGCCGGAATATAACAAGAAAATTAAGACGGCTCACATGCTGGCCCCTGTGGCCTTTATGGATAACATGGAGAACACCCTGGTCAATTCCTTGTCTCCGTACCTAGGATTTAACAACATTTATTCGACGCTCTTCTGTTCTCAAGAGTTTTTGCCCTACAATGATTTCGTGCTAGCTCTCATGTACAGTGTTTGTCTTCCGGGATCTATTGTTTCCAGTTTTTGCAGCAGCAGTGAGGAAACTCCTCTGGACCAAGGAAGAACTAATTCGGTAGGTTTCCAAAAATACCTTTTTAACTAGTTTTCAACAATTTTGTATTTCCCTAAAGACCGCCAACTCTGTGATATCGGGAGCCATGCCTGCTGGTGTCTCCACGGATCAGATCCTCCACTACATGCAGGAGTTTCAATCGGGACATTTCCGCCAGTTCGACTTCGGCACCAAGAAGAATCTGAAGATATACGGAACCGAGGCACCGCCCGATTACCCCACTGAACTCATTACAACCGAGATGCATCTTTGGTACTCGGATAATGATGATATGTCTGCCGTGAAAGATGTCCTCAGGGTGGCTGAAACTCTCCCCAACAAGGTGATGCACCATATGGAGGACCCACTGTGGGATCATGGAGACTTTGCTAACAATTGGGAAGTACGTCAGTACATCAACGATCCGATTATAGCCATCATGAACGAGTACGAAACTAGATCAGAGTCCAACTCTGTGCAGTAGTTTAGTTTTCAAGTTATCATAATTTAAAATTATGTAAATAAGAACAAAAATCCAGCCATATCTTATCTTTAACGGATGCAACTTAGACATCCACAAGTAGACTCACTTCATTGTTGAACAAGGTCTACCAGATTTGCACTTCACGCTCGACATTTATTTCATCCATATGCATATTCAACTCATTAGATCTTAGCCGACTCTTGTAATAAAAAGAAAATTTCCCATGTAGAAGTGGTGGTTGTAAAATATATAACTGCGCCTCGTTAAATCTATAAATGGCTTAATAGTCGATGGGGGTAAATTCTTCCGTTAGATTATCAACATTTTTTTCAAGTGCCTTAAATGGGCGATAAGTTAAGGTGACACGATTAGTTCTTTGAATTGGCGGGTCTATTCTGGAAAACGTAAATTAATTTATGACACACGCCCAATGAGTTGAATATGAGTAAAAAAACGGAGGCAAACCCCACTGATATAGTAACTGAGATTTAACATGGTTTCAAGTTGGAAACATACAAAGGTTTAATTAAAATAAATTACATTTTTATTTCCAATAAATTAGTATAAATAGTTCTCCACTCCATTTGGCAAAATTAAGCTAGAGGCGTTTCTCTATTCATTATAAAAAAAATGGTTAACAGCGCACACGAGCTGGAATGTTTTTCATCTGGTGATCTTCACCGATCTTTAGAACCGCCACCATTCCTTGCACGGCATGTGCTTCAATATGACAATGATATAGCCAGAACCCGGGATTATTTGAGATAAAGCGAACGATGATGTAGCCCTGTCCCGGAATCTGAACCGTATCCTTCGCCACGGCAGCAGAGTCATCCGATAATCTTGGAAGTCTTCCCCTGCGATCAAGTTCTCGGATCTGAAAGAATAAACAGAAGGGTGGTATAATTGGCTTTTATAATTTTATAAAACAATATAAATCTTTTAGAAATCACCAATAAACAATCAACAATAAACAAAACTTGGTAAAAGGGTAATGTTTTAACCATGAACAAGTTGTAATAATGTTATACAAATTGAGATTACTTACATTTCGCAGATCATTGAGATTTCCCAGGACTCCTTGTCCCACCAGACGGAAAGTGAAGCCGTGTATGTGAAAGGGATGGGTGCTGTCTAGATAGTTCGCCACGACCATCTCCAAAGGTCGATAGGCTGGAAGTCGCATCACATGAACACACTCGCAGAGCTCCCTTTCACAATTTCTTCCCTCAGCAGCCAAGGAACTCTTATTACAAAAGTATCCATCGTCCTGGTAGAGATGCCTGCCCTGCAACAGGGATATTCCCGGGGAATTGTAAGAAACATCATTGATCTGGAAAAGAACCTCCCCATTTTGAGCTGTTCTCGAACCGAAGCTGGAGTAATAGGTCTGGAACTTGGTGTAACGAGTCCAGGGTACTTGATTTACAGAACGCAGGGCCACGGTTCCCACATTATTATCCTTATCCACGGATTGACGGAGGGAAGATATATTCGATGCATTTGTAGGCTTAAATCGAAAATCATTGACCAAGACCGGATCCTCCTCTGCAGACCTACTCCTCTTTTTCTCCAGGATATCGCCCTGAGGCAACTCAGAACGGGTCGATCCTCGATAGCTTAGCACAGCTCCTTGATAGAGATTCCTTCCCTCACACTGCTCATAGCCTCGTACCCTGATCCAATAGTTTTTAGTATACTGATTGGCCTCCAAAACAAAATCAAAGCGCTCCGCGGAGGTCAAGAAAAATCCATCTGCCAGCACGGGTATTATGTCATTTCCATCGGTGCTGATGATCAAGAGCTTATGCTGTTCAATAGAGAACTCCACGGGACAGTTGGATATACCATTGAGGATAACCCTCATTCTATAGCGGTAGCCAGGCGAAACCCTGAGTCTTTCGTAGCGATGACGACTGTCATTATCCGGCCGCTGACTGAGATGATTGCGTCCCTTGCCATTCACCAGTATATTACGTACGTCTTGAAGGTTATACTCGTAGAAGATATCCTGAATCATCAAAGTGTGCTCTATGAGATCGTAATCATACAGCTGGGAATGCTGATTCTCCTGTCGTGTTTGGCGAACTATCATAGCACCAGCTATTCCAAATCCTCGCTGCCAACCCACATGGCTGTGATACCAGAGGGAACCACTGCGATCAACCTGGAATTCATAGCGCTGGACCTCACCAGGTTGAAGGGGATATTGGGTTACAAAAGGTGCTCCATCCATTTCGGGAGTTCGATGCATGTGAATACCATGCCAATGCATAGTTGTTGGTTCCCCTAAGTAATTCAAAACATCCACTACCATAGTATCATTTTCACAGAGCTCTATAGGAGGTCCTGGAACCATGCGATTGACAGCCATCACTGGATTGACCACTCCATCACCAAAAATACAATGTTCCGCTGCGCAGGCTCTCTCATCAAATTGGCACCTTTGACACTCTGGACCAAGTCTCTGATAATTGTGAACCACCAGTTGGTAGTAGCAGTTCTGCGATTGTCCCTGTTGGCAAACTCTTCTGCAGGGATGACGATCAAAGTCCCCAAAGTTGCCCAGTTCCATTTGACTATAGTCATTTTTCATATCCAGAGAGGGTGTAACCTTGGTGGTTTTATTCCGCATCCAGCCAAACGACGGCCATTCGAACTTGGCCTGCGGGAACTCCTTTTTTAAGGACTCTTCCGATTTCGCCTGATTTAAAGCGATAATCAGTAATATTATCAGCACCGGGCTGGGAAAACTTTTACTTTCGCGTTTGGACATCGCGAACCGCAACGGGCAACTGGCCACTCGATTCGCGGGCGGCCGACGAAGAAAGTTTTGGCCCATTGGGCGACCCAGACCTTTGCGCATGCGCCGCACGTAATAGCCATTAAAGCTGAGCTGAATTTGATAAGCCCGAATATATTTAACGATCGGGAAACGAATAGAAGTGAAACACTTTTTTTGCAATTACTGGGAGTTTGGAGATATATAAACAAATATGAAAATAGTTGAACCGTTTTAAAATGGGTACATAATAATATGAAATACATAATAATAATGCCCATAGATAATCATAAAATAAACGTTATAAAATTTTTTTAAATTTATATCTTTCAAAAGGGTTACAAAAAGTTGAAATATAAAACTAGGTTTTAATTAATTTTTAGTTCTAGCTTATGTAACCTTTCAAAAGATCCTGTAGAACACTTTTAGGTAGAACTCCCAATTATTATAAGATAAACTACAATACGAAACACTGATCACTAGAAATGATCAAAGCCTTACCTTAGTTACAAAATATTTTTATTAAGATTAGTGTAAGAATACAATTTAAATCTCTGCGTTTTCCATTGCCGGTGGTGATGATGATCCGGGTGCCATACCTGACGCACTGGCTGCTGTGCTCATAAGACTTATAACTCCACAGGCGATAACCGGACCCACCGAATTCTCCTCGTTCTGATAGGCCAATGGATTGGGCATTATTTGGAGGGAGGACGAAAATACCTCCGCATTTAGAGCAGTATTAAGATCGATAGCCTTGCTATGAATCACAATGGAACGCCCAACGATTCCATTTATGCCGAACAACTGCAGGTAAATGCTCTGAAAGACCGCCGAGATGCTGCCATCATCCTTGGTGTCCACATTACCAAGCTGTAGGAATCCAAAATTAGATGAAAAGTCATTATATAAGTTATGAACTATTTAAAATGAATCAAAAAACTTAGAAATTTATTTTAGGGTTTCTGACTTACAAAATTATTTGGAAACTGTCCGCCAGTGGACTTGCAACCGTCGCTGAGATCTCCAAAGGTGTGGATATGCAGGGCATGTTTGCCAGGCGGTAATCCCGTCACATTGATCGTCACCTTTATATCCGAACTGTAGGGAAGCTGTATGAACGATATCATTCCGGCCACACTTGCTCCTTCCCCATCGCCTACCAGTTTGGCACCCGCCTGCCATTGGGGCACCAACTGCTAATAAAAAATAATAATAAATAATTGAAGGGGTAAACTGAAAATTAAATACAACACAAAATTGGTTTGATAGTCTTATAAATCTGACATGATCTTCATTTATAAAATCTACTTTAAAAAAATGTAAATTCATGATATTCATAAAATGATTAAACAGTTCAAAGCATACCATAAAATAGATTTTAGAAAAAAAAAATTAGAAGTATTATACCCAATTAGAATTTGATATCATTATATAAGTAAATAGTGGCTGGTCAAACCCGCGAAAATAGGGGCAGTACAATACTTTTCATTGAAATTAGAGCTGGACAACAAATTGTATTTCAATGGCTGGTGTAAAAATGGTATCACAAAAGAGATAGTGAATAATGGGTTAAATGACTGTATAAGTTACAAATTAGTTTATAAATAGAACTGAAATATATGTAATTAAATATAGGAAAAAATACTCACATAGGTGTATCCCAGATAAGAAGGTTGTGGTGGCAACAGAGGTCCCAGGAGTCCAGCAGGTCCTGGAATTCCCACCGGACCTCCCAGAGGAACCGTTAGCCGTTCGTACCGCTTCACCTTGGTGCCGGAAACCACTTTGATGCCATCATCGAATCTGGTTATATTCGCCGGACGCAGTCGATCCAACAGATTTTGTGCACTGCCAGGCGCAAAAATGCCGCCATAGCCAATTACCAACGTCAGAATCAGTTTAACAAGCATTTTGGATTCGTAATATATATAGGACTTTTTTATGGGGAACTTTGGACCTCTCCGATCTGGGGCTTCGGCTGAACTGATCCAAGCGCCCGGCTCGGCTCATCCATGATGACTTCGACATGGTTTTCACGCTGATTGACCACGTTAATTGTGGTGACTCGAAGTGGTGGCGATATAGACAGATATATAGCCGGCACATTTGATGACTAGATTGGACGCTAATGGCAGTCGAGTGTCGCGTGTGTCTGATGCTTGGTTACCTGCCCCATGGGCGTACTTCTTGCGGGGATTGGGCACAAGATCACAAGAATCTTGCGATTGATTCGCGTTATTGAGACGTTTGAAAGCAGTTGACAAATCAATAATATCAAGTAAAACTTTAAAAACATTTAAGTACCTATACATATAAAGGATTATAACTAAATAAAGTAACAACAGATCATTCCAAAAAAATATAGCATTTTAGAGGAAAAGTTATATGATTCCTCTAAAATACTATTTAAGCTACCAAATTTCACCCATGTCTCTGCCTGATGAATGGAGCTACCCCCACTTCTAACCAAAACTTTAACTAGATCATCATTAACCCACTGAAAGTGTAACCTCACTCATATCCAACAGCTAAGTCACCACGCGATATTTTTGACAAAGCGATGACAGAATGATTGAAAAAATCATCAATCAAAAATTGATGAACGAAAGGGAAGAATAATCATTATAAACTTTGGTTTCTCAAAGTGTGAATTCCATTTAAAGTCCAAGGAAGTATGTACTTTCATTACATTACAATTTACATTCAATTTAAATACCACCTATACCAAACAATCTATTTTGCCAACAATATAAATTTTTAACAAAAGATTAACATATTTTATTGCTTTGCCCTTTTGACCCCATTATCTATCTGATTAATTTGGCTATGATGTAGACTATAAATGGTTCATCACGAACCCACTGAAAGTGAAAAACCTAACCCAGATTCAAAAAAGCGCAGTCGACACGCGAGATTTGCTGGCAAATAGATGACATATATAGTTTATTTTTAAATACCTGTCCATTTGCAATTATAAACACATTTAATCGGTTTCGCAATAAATTAAACTGGGTTATGCGTGTGGTTAAGGAACGTAATGTTAATGGATAATAGGAGGATCAGTCGTTGTAGCTCTATGTTGCGTTTCCTTAAAATCATAGTTATACGGGATCAAGGATCATCGGTAGCCGCCACGCTGTCCTCCACGTCCTCCACCACCGCCACGTCCACCTCCTCCTCCACCTCCACCTCCTCGTCCGGCCTGCGGATTCCAGCCAGTTCCCTGAACACGTCCACTGCCGCTGATCCATTGCTGGTCATTTCTCTCGCGGCTGCGATCGCGCTGGTTTTGACTTTGATTTTGATACTGCTGCTGCTGCTGTTGAGGTTGCTGCCAGTTGCCACCGCCTCCTTGTCCACCTCCGCCTCCCCTTCCACCGCCGCCGCCGCCTCCTTGTCCGCCGCCGCCTCCCCTTCCTCCTCTAAAATTACCTCCTCCACCACGTCCGCCTCCTGGGGGACCACTGGCCCTTTGCTGCTGCCACGAGGGCATCTCCGGTGGCGGAGGAGCATGCTCATTGGCCCTGCCCCCGCGATCGGGCACCCGTCCAATCACATGCTTTTGGATTTTGGAAGCCGTGTTCTTCCTCACATTCGCCGAGCTTGTCTTCTCAATGATGGCGAGATCCGAGCGAGCTGCCAGCAGAGCCACCATGTCGGTCTGCTCTCCGCCAACCTTAAGCTGCTCCACCTCCCGCATCTTGCGGTTAAAGCGGTCCATGATCTCATTGGACCGCTGGCACATGGACTCCGACCACTGAAAGCTCTGCACAGTGGCCTCCAGCCGCGTGGTCATCATCTGACGACGTAGATTGTACTCCGCCTCCAGATCTCGATGCAGGGACTCCAACACGCGCCACTGGCCATCAGTCAAAGGCTTCTTAAGCTTCAGCAGGGGTTCACTGAGCACCTGAGGATTGACTTGCTTCAGGGACTGCTCCAAACGGGGCGTAATCTTCTCGAAGAGCAGCTTGGTATTGATGTTCTTCGGGAGTTCGCCCAATTGCAGATCTTTGGCTAGGCTTTCCACAGCCTGTTGGACATTGGAATCGGTTTTCGAGCGTTTGCAGGGTGGACCCACGGGCTGGGCCTTCAGCACCATCTTGGTGGTCATCAGTTCGGATGTGAGGTACTCCAGCAGCTGGACCAGTGCGTCCCGGTCCTGGAAACGCTGATCGATGGCGCCCTGCACCAGCCGGCGGTAGGGGCAGCCAAGTTCCGTGAGCAGCAGGGACAACTCGAAGGCGAACTCGTCGTTGTCCTTTTGGCTAGAGCTCACACGTTCATCGGTTTTCCGCAGAACGTGCAATTCGTGGGCTAACCAATGGACCACCGCCCGCAGATCAGGACTTCCGATTCCCGCGTCCAGGGCGCGACTCAGGTTCTGCTGCTGCAGGCAGGCTCCTTCGTAGGCCAGCGCCTGCAGCGAGTCCACCACGTCCAGTTCCAGCTCCATTTCCTTCGAGAGTTTTAAGCTTTTCCTCAAGTAATTGTCAATTTGTCAATTTGCTGCCGGCATGGCAGTGTGACCGTCGTTTTCAGCTAAAGAGCGCTGCCAACTCGTGGTAAACGGCAGGTTGAAGTTTTCGCTGTTAGCAAGGACACAAACCAGGAACATATTTCACATTATTCGAGAAAAATTTTGTTGAAATCTTGATTGATTTGAAAGATTGGTGAACTAAAAAAAACACCGTTCTAAAAACTATTTTTTTGGAAAAATAAAAATAGTCATAGACTTTGAAAATCAAATTCCGACCAACAAAACATATTCTCACAACCCCCTAAATAAATTAAATTCCAAATCTGTTCACTTTTACATAACTTCATTTATTGTAGTTTACGAATTTCAATATATATAATTTATATTTATAAGTATAGTTTATATGTATGTATTTTTTGTTTTGTAAAGCAGGAAGTTTTAGGATTCGCATGAGTCGCACCTTTGGTGCCCACAAAAATCGTACATTTTTCGTTTGCGTTTTTTTTTAGGTTTTTCTTGTCTATACATACAACATTTATGTACTTAAAATGAACACACACATTTAGCTATATAATGTATACATAATATTCAGTTACTTCATGTCTTCCAAAAGAGTACTAACTTAAATCGAAACAAGTGAATCAAGAAAGCGAAAAACACAAATTTAGTCTCCCTCAGGACAATGATAAAAAAAAAATGGCACAAAAGTAAAGTTCCGCTGGGAAAGCCACGAAATGCAGATGAGGACCGAGCGATCGAGCGGACTTAGGTGAAGCTGTACTGATTATCGACGGCCCGTCCGGTGCATTCGGCTCCCCCGCTGGATCCCGATCCGCCTCCATTTCCTCCGCTGTTGTTGCCACCATCGCTGGGATGCCGATTGCCAGATGAGGATCCCGCCGGGTGATGGGCGGCTGCCTGAAGGGAGGCGTTCGAGGCCCGCAGATGCGGCTGGTCCAGAAAATTCTGGGCCGCTGGCGGTGATCCGTGCACTGTTAGCGTTGTGGGATCCAAATGGAAATAGACTTGCTCCGGAAAATAGACGTGTGTTGGCTCCTGTGGCAGTTCGATTTCATTTGTCTTTAGGCGAACACTCAGATTCATGGTAATCACTTCGTTGCACTGTTGAGCGAGCAGATTGAATAGGGCATTAATTAGTCGGGAGACATTTTTTCAAGGCGGTCTGGGGGTGTGTGGTGAAACATGAAGCATGCAACAATCAAATCATTCAAACTAAACACAGAAACTAACTCAAATATAAGGTACTCGGTTCAAGGAGTAGTCTTGTAAATTAAAATACAACTTTGATTTGTTGTAGACTAGTTTCAGAAGGAACTGTAGAGAATTTTAACAAGTTAAGATTTAAGATATTATTATTTCTTCCTGCAATTATATTAAACTACACATTCATCAGTTCACAGTTCAAACCCCATCCCAGTTGCAATGAAATGATAAAAACAGAACAGAAATCAAAGTAAAATAAAAAACCATCACTGACACTGAATTGACTCCAAAATTTTGGCTATCTCACATGTCTCGGCGACGGATGGCCACCGCCAGCAGCTCCGGATGCAGCTCCTGCCGCATTCGATGCCGACGATGATCCCTGGCCATTATCGTAGCCATTTCCGTTCCCATTTCCATTCCCGTTGGCCGACAGATCGTTAAGTTGTCCGGTATCATGAGCTCCGCCACCACCCGTGGGATCGTTCAGTCTGCTGTGCGTATGCACCCACTCCGTGAGGGTCACGTCCGAAGTGCCGCCCGATTCAAGGGGTATCGGGTTGTGGCGGAAGTGCTCGAGCATCTCCTGGATCGAGGGGAACCACAGGTGCTGCACGCGGCACTGACCCTTCTCCGAGATGGTGAGCCGCAGATGCTTGGCTCTTCCCTGGAAGTTGAACGTCAACACAAACTCTCCGCGGCGCGTTTCGCTCTGTCGGACCAAAAAGTATCCATGTCCGGCTGCATCCGAGTGGAGAACCATGCGGGCAGCTTCCGATCGTGTCAGTGTGCCGTGGAACCAGGGAAACACGCTCATCTCAGCCGTCAAATCCGCCACATCCGCGTCGTTTTCGGTGCCCTCGATTCCATCAAAGTTACTGGAGGCGGACAGGCGCTGTTCACCTCTATGGGGTCTCACGGGTATATCGGGTGGACCGGAGGGCGGTGTGGTGCCCAGTTCGTTGATGACATTCAATTCGCTGGCAGACGTGGCTCCTCCCTGGCCCAAAGCACTATCTGCTGATAGGGATGAGGCGAGAGGAGCTCCTCCTCCACCCACCAGATTGCCATTGGAGCCGCCCTGCTGCTGGTACTGCGGGTTTTGAATGCCCCCAATGGGATTCGGAATCGGATTTGTGGGCGATGTTTGCATGGCGGACGCCATCACGCCATCCGATTCGATCAGTGGCTGCTGAGTGGGCGGCGTTCGCATGCAGTAGCGTATGGTGGCCAACCAACTGCGCATCTCCTCGGCGCTTTCCGCCTCGATCACGTACTCCATGTTGTTGTCTGCCTTCAGGACGAACGTGTTCAGCCTGTCTGGCATTTCCAGCGCCGTGGTTTCGCGTGCCTCGGAGATGAGGAAGCAAAAGACTCCACTACGCGGCTTTGTCGCCTTGTGGGGTGTGTAAAACTCCAGCATGTAGCCACCCACGGCCTTGACCAACACCAGGCGGCATTTCTCCCACTTTTGGGAGCCCGTCGGTTGGTCGAGACTCTCCGGCGTCAGGTTGTTCACGGTGCCCTCCTTGCGGCACTCCACCACGATCTTGGCCAGCTTCGTCTTGCTCTGCTTGCCGCTCCCACCGCTGCCGTCCGCGTCATCCGAGTTCTTGTGGAAGAAAGCCTGCAGCAGAGAGATCTTGGACAGTTAAAACAGGTGGAAACAATATAGCCGGAGTGTGGCCGACTATCAAACATCACGGTATTCAAAAAATTAAAAATACACTAACTAATAGATTCCTGGTAATTGAATCATGTCTTATTATGTCACAGATAAAAGACGCTTTCAGTAAACACTAATCGGAAATCTGTATAGAATGCGAGGAATGCTAAAGTGAATGTTCTTATCGGCATTCTTAAAATACGTGATTGAACGCGTAATAATTATCTCATCGACATTCTAAAGTTGTCTTTATGGTTGTAATCAGAAAATAACAATAACTTCTCAAGATATTATTCAGATAGTTATTTTAAAAGGGAATGGACAGGATTAATTAAACGGATTCGAATACCAGGTGTTACTGAAAAATTATCAAAGATCAATCTACTTAAAGGTGGATAAAGAAAGCAGAGTATTCCCAATGATAAAGAGTGAACTTCTTAACACCCAACTCACCTTTCCCTTGCGAAGTCCCTTGAAGGAAAGCCTTCTTAACAGCGACTTTGAGAGCAATCGTGGGCCTTCGTGTTCCTCCTCGAGATCCAGCGATCCCACACCCGATTTCAGGGTACTTCTCCGCTTGAAAAACTCCGTGTCATAGTGTGCCGAAAAGGATTCGACGAATTTCTGGGCAAAGCTGCGGTGCTGGATGTTCCTGGCCTCCTCCGGCGGCAGATTGCCATTGATGTATGTGATGCAGGCCTTGGCGAAATCCGATGCGGCCACTCGGGCGTGTCGTTCGCAGAATTCCTCCCAACTGGTTCCTCCGTAGGCGTACGAGGACACTCCCATGGCGTTTCCCGTGCCAATTGGTGCGGGTATCAGGTCACTGCCACCGGCAATCGCCGCTGCTGCCGCGGATGAGGTGCCCAGACTGTGATGACTACTGGCCGACGTGGGCCCAATGTATCCGCCGGCGCTAAAAGCGCTCGAATTGGCCCCAGTGCTGTTGCCACCCATTTGGCCAGGTGGTCGCCAATCCCTCTGTTCCCGTTGCTCCCGCTCCTGCTCCTGTTCCTGTTCCTGCTGCCTCTGCCGGTTCAGGTTCAGCTTGCCGCACGAGTTACCCAGCTGAAGTCCGTTTCAAAAGTGCTGAAAAGGTGGTAAAACAAAGCTGTTGCGGGTTAGTCATTCCAGGTTCTTGGAAAAGAAGAAAGGCTTATATCTCCTTTCAGCATTCCTGACAACAAACTCATTTTCCCGGGGGTTTTGGATTGAATATTACTCATATTACAAACAAATATATAATGTATCGGTTTTTAATTAGTCTTATCAGTTGCAGATAACAGAAAGTTAAAAACAATACCTCAAGATCTGCTTGCCTACATAGTATTATTATAAATATAACAATGTATTGTCATTTAATTTTTAAATGATAGCCGGATAACTAATATTATTACAAACCAATGTATTTTTAAATATTTTTTTCCAATTAAAAAGATAACGATCACGTGCGATTGTTGACATCGATTCCCTGACTCACAGGATTCAAGTTGTCAACAAACTGGGGGGTTTTTTGGTATAGTGGTTAGAAAACTAGACAAGATTGTAGTGCAAAAGAAAACAATTGTCCGCTTTATTCACTTTATTTGGGTTTTTAACTATTCGTAGGACTTTTAGCTACTCTAGTTTCCAATTATTTTCTAGATTTACACACATTTTCTAGATTTAGAGAAAAACATTCTTTTGAAAACATTTTATTCTTTCTCTATACATTTAATTAAGTTATTTTTTTAAATAAATAATTCAATTATTTTGGGAATTTTTATACAACATATTTCAATTTTAAGCATCCAATCTGGTACTTTCGACATTAAAATTTTTTCATTTTTTTGTTTTTTACAAATTTTGAATAGATTGGTCAAAGGAGTTCTTGTTTAAAAATATGTTTTATTGCTTTGCTATTATATATTTGAATTTTTTTATTTATAAACATTAGGTGTTTGTGTTTAATGAACATTGCCCAGACACAACATATATGTACGTATGTCTGCACATGTATTTTTCCATTTATGTAACGAACGTTTACGCATGTTTGCACATTACATTAAGTAACGCGCATTTTCCGTGCCACAATTAATCCTTTTTCTCGGAAATTAAAAACAAACGAAAACAAACTTGCGGCGTAGCCCACACACACAAAGGCAAACGCACACACCCACACAACTGCGCGGTGGTGA